ATAACGAAGAGACCAAAGGACAGAATGTCTAACTGAGTGAAACTGAAACGCGACTTCAACATTGAACAACTAATATTGCTATATTCTGGACAAAAATTTGACCTCTCTTTCCGAAAATGCGATTCTACTGTCAGTTTCACTCGATTCACGGACTTTTTGAATATGCATTTCTCTAAATCGGTCAGTAGGAGATGTCAAATACTGTTTCTCAACTTCTTTCTTACCTTCATTTTTCAAAGTGCTGCCGTCCCACTTTCTGCAAACGAAATAAGCTCAACACTTAACATGAAGGCAATAATTGGTAAAGTGCTCATATGTAACCCCCAGCTATTGGTTTTAATAACTTTAACCTTGTAAAACAAATAGTCCTGACATTTGTCATTATCTCGATAAACAAACGCACTCGTTTGTAAGTTTCTATCAACCTCAATCTTCCTCTTACAGAGATCTACACAATAAGAAATTTATAGTACTACTTTTATTGCGATCGATACTGTTTCAGAAAGCAACTTTGATGTACGAAACTTCGAAAAGTGTTCGCATTCAAGTATTCTTATTAACTAATGAATTGATATTAAACTTGTAATTGGATGTACCCACGTATTGTTTACAAGGTGGATACTTTGTCTCAAGCGACAATTTCTCAGGAGCAAAATAGCGATGACTTTGTTGATTTTCATTAACAATTTACAAGCCAGCATAATTTGGCCCCTTTTTCTAGGAAAAATTACCACAATGAATTGACACAGTGACGAAAGATAGTTTCTTCCCATTGATAACTCTTCAAACCTCCACTCAATGTTGTTAATTAATGGCATTCTTCTGGTAGAAATTATCGTTTTCGCAGCATTGCTTACTTGCCTGAGATAAATCCCGTATAGACCTTTTGGTCTGAAGATGCCTCCAAGTCTTCGGTCTGCACTGAACCACGTTGGAAACACGAGATAGTACCGTCTCGTAGGCGTTGCCCTGGTTGCCATTGGTTATCAACATCTTACATGCTCCATAGAAACATCCTGCCGCAAACATAACAACTGAAATTGGGAGGAAATGCTTTGCGATAGCCACCAGAGTCCAGAGCAACGAAGAAAAATACAAAAAAATATTTTTAAAAACTCGTAAAACAGTACTACAGTCAACGAATTCAAACCTTAATTAAAAACACTGATAAGTAAAACTAATTCTGTGCAAATGAGTCTCGTAAACTGAAACAAGCATATTTTCGACGCTGATCTAACATGGCAAAATTAATCTTTTTAAAAAATAATAATAAAATAAAAAAACCTAATGTAACGACACATCGCAGGTTGAACTGAGTTTTGTCAAAGTGCTCAAAATGAAATCGGCGAGGTTGCGATCCTTGGTCTTTCTTATGGTCAATTTGTACGGTGTTCGGCATTGGCAGAAGTAATTAAACTACAACCCTCATTCAAACTCAACATTTCATTTTAAAAACTCCGAGGTGGTCTCTAAATAAAACAATTTAGTTTAACAAAAAAAAAAAAAACATTTTGCAGTAATAACAAGTCTGAAAATAAATGCATGAAGCTTTTGAGTTTGACTTGATTGTGACAGACTACGCGTCTCTGTTTTGAATTATATAACGTTAATATCAGTAGAAGCAGACCAAATATAAATATTGATAAAGAAGGCCTTGCAGTGGTCTGTGAGTTTCAACAGAAGCCAAGGTAACTGGCACTAAGCGAGACACAACTTAATCGGCGTCTTCACTCGGCCGTGTCGCTGTTTTTGGCGCCTGTTATTGGTAATCGGTACAAGATGTCAGTTGTTATTATGCAAGATACCAAACCAAACCAAAAGTCAGTCAGTAGTCTACAGAGTGAAGAGAATAGCTATGTCTGTCTTTCGATGGCTAAGACTTTTTAAACGCTGCTGATTTAAAGTGATTTGCCATGAACCATTGCCGTTGGGGCAATGTCAGCCTGCGGGGCAGGCTGGGATGGACTTACAACGTGTTCAGTTAATTCCTAGTTGCTGTATGTTACAGAACTACTTTGATAAGTGACCCGGGTTCTAATAATAATAATAATAATAATAATAATAATAATAATGATAATGATAATAATAATAATAAGGTTCTTAAAAGCGCATTTTACAGTCCTTTCACATAAAAACCCTATCAAAAAGCCCAATCAAAGAACGCTCTCTTAAAAAGAAAAGTTTTTAATCTTGATTTCAAACAGTCCACGGTGAAACACTGTTTAATGACATTGCGCAAGTCGTTCCAAAGCCTTGGTGCGACAACCGAGAAAGATCTGTCGCCATAGGAAGCCGTTTTAGTTTTAGGAGTAGACAGCAAATTTGAACTACTTGGCCGTAGTGAACGCTGAGGTTCTGCAAAATCTAGGAATGGACTGGACTGCAAACTTAACGTTATACTACGAATATACAATACAAATTATTTTCAATTTTATTAATTTTATTTAACTAATAAAATATGCATTTGTAGAAAATTTTTGGAGATAAGTTGTGCAAGAGGTCATGGTAATTAGCTTTTTACTCCACCCGAGGAAATGTTCTTTTCTTGGTATTATAATTTAGTTCGCGGTACTTAGACATTTTACTGTGTCTGCTGAAAATGCAGAACACGCTAAGCGACCACAGTGATGTTACTTATTTTCAGGCTACACAAACAATCTGGTTTGAATGAAATATAAAGTTGTCTTGTGTAAATCTATGTGTAAATGATACGACTGTGAGGTAAAGAACAAGCCTTTATACTCGTTTTTCGAGCGCTGTAAAAAATGTTCAAGATTCCAAACATCGTGGTCGCAATTAAGGAAAAACCACAACGACTAAACTTCCGATTCGTTTCCATACAGCTCAAAATGAGAAATCTGGTCACTAGAAAGTTAAAAAAGTGTTATCATCGGACTCGAGGGCAACAGTTCGCATGCGCAGTGGCGTCGTATCGTTTGAGTGTATACTTCCCATTTCTCTGTGTAAACATCGTGCCCAGCCTCTGCACTTAATGCGGCATTCAATTCCCAGCCACCAGCAAACTGTAGCAAATCAAGCGTCAAAGTCTTTTGTACACAGAATGCACCAATACCAGGAAGATAAGTCGACACCATTTGAGGATCGCACAGTAACTCATTAATATACTCAGGAAATCTTCGTGGCGTCGACGGCTGGCGCGTTATGGCCATACATACGGGACAGATTCTCAAATGCCCGGATGGTGTGGGCGTTTTCCCTCCATGACACTGAACTATCAGTGTTTCTCCTGGGTTGATACGTACGCTCCTTTTCTGTCGACGAGAAGGTTTGCGGTTCAGTACAAAAGACGACTGACTGAGGTCCAAATGTCTCCCTGTATCCAGATCTTTAAACTTCAGAGCTTCTTTGTAGGACGATGCTAGATACTGGTGATTGTACATTCCACGACAGTTCATTTCCTGCTGCAGCTCAGTGCTTTGCCATCTTCGGCACTCAATTTTGCCAACTTTGTAATCCATGTTGGGTGCTTGAATAGAATTACAAGGGTGATGGTTTGTTTGATTTCCTGCTGTTGCATTGTTGTCTTGGAAATTGCTGTCATTTTTAGCAGTTCCATTATTGCTGACGATTACTTTTTTAACACCGCTTTTTCCTTTCTTGCCTCTCCTCGTGGTCAGCAATACTTTGTGTCTCTTTCTTGTTCTGCGTCTGCTCCTAGCAAAGTTGCCTCTTCGTTTGCGGTGCCTTCTAACGTTACGAACTCCACTATTTGGCCATCGACCCTGGCTTGACTTCGTTGCGTTTCCTGTTGAGACTTTACTTTTCACAACTGCTTTGCTCATCGACAATTCACCCTTTGAAGACATAAAAGTTTTACTGTTAGAAAACATTGCGGCTTTGGTTGGTGCTTCGTTGGCCCGTTTAGACGCAGCTCCACTGTAAAGGCTCCTTGTTCCAAGCGGTTGTGTTCCATCGGTCCCCTTATTAAGCCCTGTTGGGCGTGTAACTTTACCAGAAGGGGTCAAATGGGTATTATGGCCATTCACCACCGCCAGTTGAAAACACAACACAGCAAAAGACGTGGAAAGTAGAACGCTCTGAAACAAGTTAAAATTTCATTTAACATTTACATCTTCTGTTATTCATCAGCTCATCAGTTAGGATACCTGATTAAGCAACGAGTTCTTTAGTTGAATTGTTGGAAAATTTGATAAAAAAAAAGAATAGAATTTAGTTTTCTAAATTGTAGATATTGGGAAAAAATTGTAATAAGCGACGCTTTCTTCCAAAGCTTTTAAATAGAACACTGATGCCAATACAAAATTGCAACATTTTGGTTACCGCTGGTTAGAAGCCCCCCTTTATCTCATTCCCAGATTAAGTTCCTCGAGTTAAAAAACGAGAAGTTAATTATAAGGACTATTTACTTTGAATAAGAATCTGTTACCTGTATTAATTCCATGATCATTTCCCTGTAGCTGCCGACAGAATTATTACCAAGTAATCTCCAGTAAAAGACAGCCGTGACGTATGCCTTACTTTCCACCTCACTAGAACAGAAATAGTCAAGAGCTGTGTGTTAGCATGTCAATGGTGCATCATCCCGTAGGATAGAACATCCCTTACATTTCTAACCACCGTCCACTACCTCGTATAACCCAAATTCCTGTGCTTATAATGAAAAACTTAATTTCGATTCCGAAAAACCAAACCAATTCAGCCAAATATTGTACATGAAGTTCAGCATGTCTTACGCAATATTACATAAAAAAAATTGCAGCTATCATTTGAGACTTGACTAATTCCTAGTAGTTCAATTGCAAATCTAACGTTACGGTGCAAGCTTATGCTTGACTCTTCCAAGGGGCGAGAATTAGGATGCAATGAAAATTTTGCTGTGTTTAGAAAGTTCTATCGCTACAGCCAAACCGTTTTATCATAAATCTTGGATATGATCGACGAACACAACTTCAAGGACCAAGCACTTGTGCTTCGATATAGCATTTCGCTGTCAACGGTTTCTCTATTCTGTTTAGATCGACTTACCTTAGCCGCCGTTTTCCGTACCTTAACTGAATTTGACAACTTCATGACTTTCCGTGCTTGCTCAAATAATTGTCTGTACATTAGTGGACAGAACTTGTACTTGGCGTGCAATACTCAATGATATCTAATGAGAGAAAATGACCTTTAATGTAAAACCCTGGTAACCATTAGCCTTACGCGTGGCGCCTGTCTTTGCTTTGATTTTTTCAAAAATATCAAACGTGGTCGGAAAAGAGGCATGTTTCTAGTTGTTAATAGAACTACGCCTACAATTTCTTAGGAATTCTTTTCAAGTCCAACAGATTTAATGAGACATCGGTTTCTTTCTAAACGTAGCTTGTGAAATAAGGAGTATTCACAGTGATGTGATGCGGCCTGCTAATGTTGCATGCAGTTTTCGTTCCTCTTCCATCTGAAAAAAACTTTTTGATTGGTTTGTTTTGATAACGTAAGTTATTCTTCTATCATCTATTCCAATTCAAGCGGTTGATTTCTAGGTTTTCAGAAGATTTGAGGACATAAAATACTTTACTCAAATCATTAAGAGACAACGTACGGTTTATTTCCACAAGACCCGAAAAAGAGACAAAAAGACAAAACTAACCAAAACCAGCGAAATGTCGGATTGATCCCCAATGAAAAACCATGGCCATTTAAAGCAATTACAAATTATCAAAATCAATCAACAAAAAAGGAGAAGCTGAGCTGCGTCGCAATATTTGTGCTCTGTGTTGTCTATTTTGGCCGCGTCACCCGTCTAGCTGTCAAATATAACTTCATAATCAACACTTTGTCACTATAATGAAGAATGCACTTGAGGCACTTAGTTGAATCTTGTTGCATCTTCAGTAGAAACTCCACTCAACTGATAAGAGAAAGCGCATACCTCCCTTAAGAACTTTAGGTGGAAAGAAAACTGGACTTTTTGCACAAAATAACTGATACCAATCTCGTCTAATTAATTGTCGCTTTTTAATTGCATACTAGATCCTAATTACGTTTCACTAAAGAACTGAATAATTCTATATGATTAAGGCTTTAGCTGTTATCTTATCAAAAACAGAACTCTTTGAAGCAGAGTCGCCAATAAAACCACATGCCCGGGCTCGAATGAAGAACGTTATTCATCTTGTCTTTAGGTAAAAAGGCAAGATCAAACATAACAAATACATGGATGTTCTAAGAAAATATACCGTGAAAAAAACAAAACAAAACAAAATAAAGCCGTGTACAAAAGTTTAAGATTCACCAACCTTTCATCAAGATATGCTCAGTTGTGATCCATCCAGACAGGAATTCCTTTATAGTTTTAAACCAGCTTTAAGAAACAGCAAGGCTTTACCAGCCAAAACAGTATATATATACCGACTGTATTGCCAAATAAGGAATCCATGTATCTGTTCCCTAAGCAATATTGGCCAGCAATTCTAGCTAGTGGCACGCTAATGAATTATTTTGTTCTTTTTTGTACTTTACGTGAATTTTCTGTTTAATATTTTAGCCCACCACTACCCCTCCACTTAGTTTGCACTTATAAACTTTATTGCATTCTTATTTAGTATTTCATATACATATACATGTTTATTCAGTCTTGATATATAAAATCTAAATTTTTGATACAAAGTTGATGTGCATGCTATAGACTAGCCAAAGTATTCATACTTTCTTGTCAAACAATATCGTCTGTCAAAAGGCCAACTGTGCAATATAACAGTTGATACAAATACTCATAATTCATATGATTAAGTAAATGTCCATTAATAGCAACACGAGAAAAAAAGGATAAAAACGAACGTAGTTGAAGTGTTTGTAGCTAGGAATCTTAACAACTTTTTCAACCTTTACACTCTCTTATTCATAAAAATATACTTTATTAGATAATCGAGGTTAACATTTGCAAAAGTTAAAGAATATTATAAGAATTAACCCGCGAAGTCGAGATTCTGAAGAGATTATAATTTTGAGTGTTGAAAATGTGTAAGTACACTACAATTTCATGTCTTTAACTGAACCGTACGTATAAAGATTCTTCCTTTCCCAAATGGCAAAACCACCAAAAGACAAGCAAAAACAGCTCTAGCTGTATGTTCTATGCTAATAACATTTCTGCAAGAAGTTATGTGAGTCACATCAGGCTTTATTACCTGCCGTCTGGCTCCAAAATTACTCCAACGCCATTAAGGTCATGATACAGGACAGATAATCGGACGTTGTGTCGACGTAGTCGACCCATAATCTAAGAATATTCACAAGAATATAGAACATAGAATGATCACCTAAGCCGAAAAAACAATATTCTTATATATTAAATAGAGTGTATAGCAAACTTTTTAACAGGATTACAATCTGTTTTCAGTTTGTCTTTTTGCAACAGAAAATATAAAGTATTTCGCTCTGTGGAATTGTTGCATGGTCGCAGCAACAAAGTACAAGTAACGCATCAAAATACGTCAAACTCAATTCGTAAGGTACCTAGTTACAAACTATATGATGTAAGTCAAGGTGATACAGGTCTAATATTCGTAAGAGCCTAGTAATTGACTCTTCCTCTCACTGTCTTGAAACAGTGGGTGAGCAAGAGCACAAGTAAAACGACATAGAAAAACACCTTTCTCAACTGAACTTCTCAAATGACTCTTCCAGTGTTTTCTTTGCCATCTCGAATACAGAGCAAGAATAAGTGTTTTCTATATTGTTACTATAACTCAAATGTATCGGATTTGGTTACGAATTGTTTTATTTTGAAGAGATAAGTCTAGAAGTTATTTGCTCTAAATATAGAAACAATCAAAAAAGCAAACGGAATTCTTACTTCATAAAAAAATTCCCTCTAAAGATCTAAGTAGAATTATAAGCGACAGGTTGTAAATTTTAAAGACTGTTCATGAACAAACATGTACCATGTAGTCTTTCAACACCGAAGTTTCACGTCATTGTCGTTGCTGATTTCTTTCAAAAGAATTAAGGCGATTTCCGCAGAACATTCGCGCAATGAAAAATTAAGTTACCAAAAAAACCTCATAGCATGGTAGTATAAAGCTAAGAAGAACTTATCGAGACTTAGGATCTCAAGCTAACCCCGCGAGAGAAAGTTGAACTTGAAGTTATCCATATTTCAATAAAAACGGACTTTTCGCGTTAGTTGAAAACACAATAACGCACACATTAAGCATTCTTAATTACGGGTTTGACATTAAATTTCTCGAGAATGCTTGGGGATCTAATCGCGGGGTCTACAGAAATGAATTACAGTGAGATGATTTAAATAGTACTCAAAAAGTAACCGTGCTGTGAGTAGATTTTTAGTAAATTATTTTTGCACTTATTGCTGGAACTTTGAGCGGATTCCGTCTCAACATTTTGAGCGTCATTTTAGAGGTTCAAAGTTGTTGCATACATTTTTGGAAATTAAGCCTTGCTTTCTCTCTAGGAATAATCGCTCTGAAATACCTGGAGGGATCTTTTACTGAAGCCGATCAACGCCTTGTTTTTCATTAGTAACGATACACTGTCAAGGAGAAAGGTGACGACAAATCATCAACAGAAAAAAATATATTGATACACCCTGTCATAAATACATCGCCATCGGACTTGAGGGTAACAGTTCGCATGCGCAGTGACGTCGTATCGTTTGAGTGTATACTTCCCATTTCTCTGTGTAAATATCGTACCCAGCCTCTGCGCTTAATACAGGATTCAATTCCCAGTCGTCAGTAGACTGCAGCAAATCAAGCGTGAAAGTCTTTTGCACACAAAACGCATCAATACCAGGAAGATAACTTGACACCATTTGAGGATCGCACAATAACTCATTAATATACTCCGGAAATCTTCGTGGCGTCGATGGTTGTCGTGTGATGGCCGAACATGAGGGACAGATTCTTAAATGCCCGGATTCTGTGGGCGTTTTGGTCGCGTGACATTTAACGATCAAAGTCTCCCCCGGGTCAATATCAACTGCCTTCTTCTGCCGTCTGGAGGATGAACGATTCAAGACAAAGGAATTGCTTAGGTTCATCGTTTTTCCTGTATCCAGATCTTTAAATCGCAACGCTTCTTTAAAAGACGATGCTAGATACTTGTGATTGTACATTCCACGACAATTCATTTGCTGCTGCAGATCAGTGGTTTGTAATCGTCTGCACTCGATATTGCCAGTTTTGAATTTCATTGCGGTTGTGTTGACCCAGTTACAAGGATGTTTCCTCCCGTGAGCAAACATCGTTAGGTTTAACTTGTTTTGAACACTGCCTTGAATTGCAGTGTAATTTAAATCTGTAATGTTGGTGACGTTTTGTATGTCCACGCGTATGCCTCTGTGCCTGACACTATTTCTAACACGTCTTTTTGTCTGTTTGACTCCACTTCTGACACCACGCCACCCACGACGACCACTCGAATGTCTTTTCACTGTTGTAGAGTTTTGAACTGCGCTTAGCACCTTTGCTTTTGCCTTTCTTATTGACCTTTGTGCCCTAAAACGATCAACAGTCAATGCGTTTCTGTTCGTTGAGGTAGTATTGTTGCTTGGATGGTTGAATGCTTTAGTTGGGGATACTCCGTCCTTGACAGAAGTGACTATACTAGCTGGAACCTTTCCAGGAGGGGCCATGACGCTATCATTGTTTTGTATGTTTTCCTTCTGTCTACTGTTAAGAATCCGACCATTTGCCATTGGACATTGAATAATAAACACAGCCAAAAACGTCGATAGCAAGGTAATCTGGAAAAAAAATGTCAAAACTTTACTTTTCGCTTTCTTCTTGTTTCAGCGTTAACTTTCGGGATAGTTGCGCAGAAAATGGCGCCTTCCATGAAATGTAAAGGCAGTGTAAGGGTGGGGAATGTTTATAAAAACGATCTGTATGTATAAAAAAATTTTTTACAAAGTTGCTGTAGCTTAGCACATTTCAGGACCACGTCAAAATAGAAATATAGCTTACCTGTATATACTCCCAAACTTGTTCGTAGACAAATTTCGTTTTATTCATACGAGACTGCATCAAAATTTCACTTCCTTAAATGGATGACTGACCGAATGACTGACTGACTGACTGACTAACCGACTGACTGACTTAATGAATGACTGACCGAATGACTGACCGACTGACTGACTAAATGACTGAATGACTGAACGACTGAACGACTGAACGACTGAACGACTGAACGACTGAACGACTGAACGACTGAACGACTGAACGACTGAACGACTGAACGACTGAACGA